GAGGTGCTCCAGCCCTCTGATCATCTTTGTGGCCCTCCTCTGGACTCTCTCCAACAGCTCAATGTCTTCTTGTACTGGGGACCCCAGAGCTGGACGCAGTACTCCAAGAATGAAGACTTACAAAAATATTTTTTCATTTAATTTATAGCATTTTCTAAAATGCCTTCTTGTTTTTTCCTCCCTTAGAGATGTGTGTAGAAACTAATGATTCAGAGACAGAGATGTGAAATATTGCATCAATAAGATTTTTTTGGTGCTTTTTTCCCTAAATCAAAAAGCATTTCTGAAATATTACCTATAAAATATGAGGCAAACTTACCCAACCTAACACACTTGCTTGGAAGGTGCTGAGGAACTCAGAGCACTGATAATAGTGATTAATGTGGTCTGCAAACTCCTGCTGACAAGATTTTGACACAGAATCACATAAACAAAGAATATGTTGCCCTTTCACTTAGCTGCCCTCCTCCAGATATTTGTAAATTCACATGCAAAAAAGAGTAAATATTTCTGGCTGAAGTAGAGTAGCAACACTAATAATGTTTACATGGAAAGCTATTTTCTTAATGCTCCATTTAATCAAGTTATTTTTTTAAAAATTATATTATAATTTTTTGTATTTCTTTTCACTTTTGGTACCAAACGAAAAGTATGTGTCCTAATGTAAGACTAATTTAATTCCTTGCCATTTTCTTCACAATTTTTTATCTGTTCAAGTGTTACAACTGTCCCATTTTTCAGTTAGTGTCATTTTTTTCTTTATCTGTTTTGGCACATTTCAGACCTAATTGTTCTTCTTCCTTCCCTGACTATTAATGGTACATAGGTTTTGGACATTTGTCTTCCATACTCTCAGATTTGTGGAGAGGTAAATAACTCATTTCCCTTTTGTTGTCAATTTTCTTATTTCCTTAAATAATTTTTTCTTTTCCTTTTCTGACAACAAATCTTTTCTGCCATCCTTTCAGAAACCAGCTAACGATCTTTTTCTGTTGCATGCATTTGCAATATGCTATTCTTTAACTACTTGTTTTCTTCAACGAATATAGCTGTTCTGAAAATGGGATCATTTCCCATTTTGTCTGAAAACACTGACCTTGAAGTCATTTTTGGTGACTTCTGTGGTTGCTATTCTTTCCCATTGCAGCCTGCCATGTATTTTTGGCATCTTCCACTCTGTGGAAGAGCATATTTCACTTTAGAGTGCTTTCCGTGCAAGACAAGGCACAGTGTTATCCTTGAGATATGCAGGAAGGTTGTGCAGAGCAGTTTTCAATTAATCTCTTTACATTTATGACCAGCTTTCTGAGCAAACATCTCTTAGAAAGTGCTTGAAGGAAATCCGATGGGGGTTTCAGCTTTTTGCTTATTGAAATCGCCCTGTTACTAGCTTTTTGGGTACACTCTTTTGAATGGGAAAGTTGGTCGCATGACCCAGGCAGAATTTTATTGTCGTCTTCCCTCTCCCTCACTCCCTCCTGGTTTCATGATTAAGGTTTTTGAAAATACTGCACATTTGTCTCCTTGTGTGGAGTTTAGTTGCTGAGTTATTCGGCATAGCCCTGAGGCTGATCTGCTCTTCTAAGGAGAGGTACTTTAAAATTGAGAATCCTCAACTCTTGAGATGAATTTTGTGGATTCGGCCTCAGGGCCAACACATGTTCATCTCCCTTGTACCTCCTTGTCTGCCCTGCCAGAGAAAAACCTGATGAGAATTACCTCTGCACCAAAGTCCTTTTATCTCTAGAGGCCAGACAATTCCCATTTTGCTTGAAAGACCTGGGAATCTTGAAGGCAAAAGTGTTATTACAGAGTCTAAATGGAATGGTGGTGATATTAAATGCAGTTCTCTCAGACAGTGATTTGACTTTTTATAGTTCAGTGAGCCAAGGAATCCAGGACAAGGTTATTTTCTCAAGGTACTTAAGGGAAGGCCTTGAGTTAGGAGAGTCATCACAGTGGCTTTCAAGGAACACATTACACTTTGCTTTCTGAATATGGTGGTGATCTATATCTCAATCGAACGTCTATGATGAGAGGCAACAATGATAACATCAGGTAAGAGAAACGGAACCGTCTGTCCTTTAGAGAGCTCGGAAAAATGGGAAATGAGAAGTGCATTGATTATTTGAAAAAGTACATGCATTCAGATGCATTTTGTTGCTACTCTTAACCACTCCATGTGCTTACTGCTGAATTTGTCAAAAAAACTGTCTCAGCAAAGGGGGTCTGTAATGAGATATGTACAGATAGATTGTCTAAGATTTACCATATTGCTAGCAAATATTGTATGTCCTTAGTTGGTTTCAGTGGAACATACTACAACAGATGCATTACATTTAGTAATCCACACAAAAAAAAAAAAAGGAAATTAAGGAATGAAAATTATTATTTCCATGCTAATTATGAAGATGGGACCTTTTTCAAGATGTGAGAGATGTTTAGGATAAGAATCCAACCAATGATGCCAAGAATCCTGTGGTATTTCCAACACTGGTACTTTCAGAGTAATATATCTTTTGGTGGAGTGGGGAGGTTCCTGTGGGACTGATGCTCAGGTACGCAAACTGCCATGTCCATGAGATAATCTCCTTCCTAAGATGCAGCCAGCAGTACCACTCTGGAATATTATTTGTGATGTTCAGTAGACTTCCCCATTCCTGCCTCTTCGTTTCAGGCTGTGAGAAAGGCTTTCATTTCTGGTGCTCTGGTCAGTGGCCTGTCAGTAGACATCTAAGGCCATCTGGAGGAGCTGGCACCTCCCCTTCAGTTAGCCATTTGCAGTGGTATGGTGTGCCAGTGAATTTTGTTCCCAGGGTAAACTCTTTCCTTGATTCTCATAGTGATGAGAAAGTAATTGGAAAACTAACTTCTAGAGTAGTCCATGCTGCCTTTTTACACAGGTTGGCTCTGGATTTCTCTAAGTCCTGGTTTTTTTTATCCATTCTTCTTCCTCTTTCTCACTGGTTCTGTGAATTGTTCAGTGCTTCACTAGAGCTGTTTATTGCCCAGCAATGTAGGTGAATTTGCATGGTCAGTTGATGTCATCAAGTTCACATCCTTTAATGAAGAATTAAGAGACAATCCAAAACAGCAGAAGTATTTTTCCCTCTTCCTTATTGTAGTTACTTAGTATCTGTCTTTCCCAGATAGATGGAGAGAAAGGGAGATGATTTGGAGTAACCTCTGCTCTTAATTTCTGGGCTGTTTTCAGTTTGGGGGTAAGGGAGAGAGGAATGTGTGTCACTTGGAAATTGTTTGTTTTCTGTATGTATGTGTCTTCATTTTCCTAGTTAGCTGATACTGAAAGACCCACTTAGAAACCTCAAAGACCCCTAGTTATTACTTACACTTGGGGAAAAAAAAAAAAACCCTAAAATTAAAGGTGTAAAATCTTTGCAAAATTGAATATCATTGTAAACATTAACCTTGTTAGCTAGGAGCATGTGCTTTTTTAATGTGAATGTGAAGTTTCAGCTATAATTCTACTTGCACGTGCCCAGGGGTGGGGAGTAGCATTAATCCCACTGTTTCTGTTAATCTTTTACTCCTTTCCTGGGTCACCATGTTTGTTGTCAATTCAGAGCCTGAGATTTCCGCTAGATTTATGTTATAATGCTAATTAGTAGAGGGTACTATTGTTGACTGTAGAAATAGAAGTAATATGTTGTTCTAAGGTATCAAGTTCAGATTTACTCCTGACCTTTGCCAGAAGTGAAGGAACTTCAGATCCAGGACTTTGTTCAGTCTCTGTTTCCTTTCATTTCCCTAAATGGTTCAGAATGTAAGTATTTGTTATTAAAAAGGAAAGGAAAACAAATTGACAATAATGGGAGATCGAAACCTTCATTAAAAGAACTGTATAGGGAATGGTGGCTTAGCTCAGAAATCTGCTCTCAGAAACAAAATTGAATGCAATTCAGTAGTTGTGCCACACAGTGTCACAATTGGACTTCACTTCCTTCCACTCTGTATCTTTCCCTTTGTAGGTGAAGATATTTACAAAGCCAGTGAAGAGCGATCTGAAATGTGGGGGGCAGCCGAAGTGCAGGAAGATGAAGATACTCGTGTAGAAGTTCCACTGGACCAGGTATTGACCGAGCTTTAAATAAATGGCTTTTTTTTAGGATCACAGGTTGTGTGTTGTTTTCCTTTCCCCAGTTTCTGTCAAGTGTACAGCATAATTCTGTGGGAATGATTGTAACAGCTCAACAGTATGGTTTCTTTTATGGGAGCTTAAGCAAATCTTCCTTTCTCTGTTACTGTGTCAAATATCAGTTACCTTTTCATCATCCATCAGCTTAAGAACTGCTCTGAGAGCCCTTATAGAGCCTTAGAGAATCAGGACTCCTTACCTACCATACAGATCCACCTGGATCACAGTCCCTTTATACTGGTGGACCAGTGTAAAGGGACTGTGGCACAGAATCAAGGTCAGAATTCCTACAGTCCTGAATTAAAAACATGTGTGGATTTATCCAATTTTTATTAATGTTGCCAGCACTTTCTTCTGTTGGAACAACAGGGTACTTAGCCAACTTTATCATTGTAAGACTTATGTGCAATAAATAGGTCTTGATAACTCAACATAAGATTATATCCTCTTTGTTTTACTTGTTTTTTAAAAGAAACTCCTGTGAACTGAAATAATACAGGAAATAGGTAAGTTGATGTTTATTCCAATGAAATGGAGAGTAGAACTGCTTAAATTACTTGCTCAAAACTTACTTTTTTTTTCCTGTTAGTGAATTGCTCACAAGACAGTCCTCTTTTCCATCTTAAGTGTTTGTAGGAATCTGCCAACTTGTTCAACTTTGTATCCAGTTCACAAGATGTTGCATTGTGCTTTCGGTGTCTGTTGATAATGGCTTGGGGCTAGCCACCTAGGCCACAAGTTAATATTTCTGATCCATGCTGCAGCATAAGGAATCACAGTTTGCCCAATAGACTTCTCAGGCTAAAAATCATCCCAACACCACACAGGATTCTTGAGCATTTTTCTGACTTCCTGGTGGTCAGCTCAATGCTGAGGAACAATTGTTAACGTGAGATTGTAAACAAAGGGGAGGTAGGGAGTTAAAAATAGTTGTTTCTAAATATGTTTTAACTATCTAGGGCACAAACGATCTGGGAGATTTCTGGAGTGTGTTGGAGACAATTTTTTGACGTAAGCAATGGGATACATGATTAGGAGAGGCATTCTGCTGGATTTGCTACTCATGAATAAAGAGAAACTGGTTGGGGATGTGATACTCAGTGGCAGCCTTAGCTGCAGTGGCCATGAGACGATAGGGTTTAAGGCCCTGAAGGAAGTGGGGATGGCAAATAACAAAACAAACAAACAAAAAAAACCCCAAAATCCAAACATACACCCCCTGGAATTCAGGAGAGTGGACTTTGGCTTGTTTGGGAAACTGGCAGGCAGGATCTTGTGCAAGGTTGCCTTGAAGTGCAGAGGAACACAGGAGATCTGGTTGATCTCCAAGGACATCTTACTTAAAGCACAAGAACTATCCCCACATGCAAGAAAACAAGCAGACATAGCAGGAGGCCAGTTTGAACAGAGCATTCCTGACCCCATTGTAAGAAAGGTAGAGTGTGGTAGGTAGAAGAGCAGATGGACTGTTAAGGAGCAGTATGGAGACATTGTCTGGGCATGTAGGGATGAAATTTGGAAAGCCAAAGCTTGTCGAGAAATGGGAACTGATGCTTATGATTGGGAATAGCCAACGTGGATTTCCTGTGGGCAAATCATACTTAACCAACCTTTTTGCCTCAGTGACGAAATACTGTCTCTGTGGACGAAGGGAGAGCAGTTATTGTCATTTATCTTGCTTTCAGCAAAGACTTCCATATTTGTAGGAGAAATTGGAAGAAGTGTGGTAGATGTGTGGAGGAAGATATCCTTAAGGAAAGTAGGGACTGGGTTTGTGGGCTACAAGGTGGATGAAAAACTGGCTGATTTGATGGGACTTAAAAGGTCAGTTGCTTAAAATTTAGCTGGCACCTATATATGGACAGTGGGTTTGATCATAGAATCATAGAATGGTTTGGG